AGTACGTCATGAAGTATATAAAGTGCCGGGAACAAACCTCATTTATAATGTCCAAGGGAGGAAGAATTGCTTTTTTCTGTAAAAGATGTGTAATGAGCGTGAAATAATTCATGAACAGCACAGGATCACGTTCCAGTGAACTGATTATTTGATAAATGATTTCAACGAGCCTCTGTAAGCGACCATCGCTAGAAATTTCCACGCATCACTACTCAGCAAAATAATGGATAAATGGCTAGCGCACTGACTGCAGGTGCGAAGATGCTTTTTTTGCACGGTTCCCCGCAGGCCTTTGTCGCTGCCAGCACCGGCTTTTTGGACAGATGCTTCTAGCTAGAAGAATTGAAATAGGCCGCCAGGACTGTCAGGAAACCTCCCCTTAAAATTCCAGTCTTCCAGCTTTCCTGGTCCCCGAGTTAGTAACTTACCCACGAAGAATTTTCACTGGCCCGTACATGAGAACCACGCGCTCTAGGTTCTATATGGATCGGGGACGTCCCCTTAAAATTACAGCCTTTTAGTTTTTCAGTTCCCCGAGGTAGCCGCGAAAAAATTACCCGCGAAAAACATTCATGGGCCTGTACTTGGGAACCACGCATACTCGAAGGTCTGGTTGGAGCTTATTAAGGACTACGTGGACGAGGAACATTTCCTTAAAATTTCAACTTTCTAGCTTTGCTGATTCCCGAGTCAATTACCTACCCGCAAAAAAATTTGACAAGTCCGCACGTGGTTACCACGCAAACCCGAGGGCTGGGTTTGAACTCATTAATACTTATTTGGACTAATAAAACTCCAGTCTTCTTGCTTTTCAAGTTCCCGACTTAGCAACTTTCCGAAAAACGTATGTAGGTACCACGTGGGTAAAAGCACCTATTTTGGGGAAGGGGGCCCGTATGTACAAGCAAATTAAGACCCCAAATTTTCAACCTCGTACCTTTTATAGGTCTCGAGACAAAAAATAGGTAAAGACGAATACACAGATACACAAACACACAGACAATCTCTTATCAATATGCGTTTTCTGCATTGCATAGATGCAAAAAACACATGAAAAGAAAAGTTCAGCATACTAAGACAGCAAAACCGGTCCAAAAAAGCTCACTCAGTGATGAAGAGATCACAGTCCGCACAAGTAAATATCACGTTAAAAAACTGAACAGCATCAAATCTGATAAGTATTCGCAGGTGTGGATATGTTACTGACGCTGCAAAGAATAATTCATTAAAAACACTCGCTCCAAAACCATACAAATGGCCAGTGCGAAGATGCTTTTTTTTGCATAGTTTCCCGCAGTTTTTGTCGCTACCGGCACTGTTTTTTCCGGTAGATGCTTTAGCTAAAAGAATTTCAGACTGGCCGCCAGGACTATCAGGAAACATCCCTTCAAAATTCCAGTCTTCTAGCTTCTCGGGTTCCCGAGTTAGCAACTTACCCGAAAAAAACTTTCATGGGCCCATACGTGGGAAACACGCATACCCGGTGCCTGGGTTTGAGCTCACTAATACCGACTTGGATGGGGAACATCCCCTTAAAATTTCAATCTTCTAGCTTTTCAGATTCCCGAGTTAGCAGCTTACCCGAAAATTTCACGGAGCCATAAGTGAGAATCACGCATAACAGGGCGCTGGCTGTGAACTCATTGGGACCTGCTTGGACAGGGAACATCTTCATAAAATTACAGCCTTCTAGCTTTTCAGTCCCCCGAGTTCGGAACTTGTAAAGAACTTTCACGAGTCCGCACGTGGCATGGATTGCTGTGATTTGTTGCCAATACTCAATAATGGCTGTTTATGGAAAAAAAAAAATATCCCACCTGAACTACCGTCTTTGCCTTTATAAGCAATTAAGCAACGGTATACTTGCAGCGGAAGAGTTTCGGCGAGTTCTCTTGATAAAGATCCGATAGGGTAAGCTCGACCGGACAAGCAGCACTGTATGTACAAAAGTAATTTATTCCCCTGTGCAATTTCACAGTCTGAAAGAACTTCGGAATCCACAAACCCTGCCATATTTTCCAGGATCTCCTGAAAAAAAAAATCAAACTTTCGAGAAATTCATGGAAAAGAAAAAACAGATGTGCTGATTCGAATGGTATGGATTTTCTTAGCGATACTTATAAAAATCAAGATTAGTTAACTTAGGCAATTCATTGTGATTTCAAGACAAAACACTGATGCGTAGCAAACATCAAGGGCTTTCCAAGACGACTAGAGCTTTATTTTTTTGAGAGACGTTTGGCCAATACAGGCATGGGCAACTCTTGACAACACGCGGGCCCGATTTACATACTTGAGCTTTTGATAAAACCCAGGTAGTAACGCACCAGGCTTGCTCATGCGATCATGCGTTGTTGAGCTAAACCTGATGCAGTCAGATCGTTAAAAGCATAAATGGTTGTTTCTTAACAGTTCAACATGTGCAGCTTATATGCCTGCGTTTTGCCCTTTTCTTTCATGTGGAGGAGGAGCGTCGGCTGGGACGGTGGTGTTGCATCATGGCCTTCCCTGTTGCTGAGTTGAAGGTAGGTGACAAAGTTCACTCGCTTCTGAACACGCACATACAGAAATGCTCTTGACATTGTGCGCTTTTGCGTTTGCATAACAGACAAAAACGTATGGAAAGCGAAGTTTTTGTCAGGTTTTTCATCCAGTAAAGAAAGTGAATAGCAGCAGGCTAATGTGAGCTCTAGGCTTAAGCTTCTGAAAGAAGTTTGTTTAGGTCCAAATTTGTATCACTGACACAGGGTTTCAAAATATTTCCAGACTGTTGTCCGTTAGCCTCGTTATTTTCATGAAAGTGCAAATGCGTGGCGAAGTACAAACTCCCGTTGTCTAGTTAGGCATCACATTCCAATCCCTTCCGCTGGTCGGATTAAAACCGGTTGCGGGCTAGATTCGGCCCTTGGGCTGCCGGTTGGCCACATGTGGACTAATAATTCCTTCGGAAAACAAAATGAAATGGAATTAAGCTTGTTAAGATCTAATTAAGTGAAATTGTTGATTGGGGGATGATTAAAAGTTACATGTATATGTGAGATATTGAATGGGAGGGGTGGAAAATGAGTTATGCAGCTAAATTTTGGAGATTGAAGAGGGTGGAGGTGATAATTAATCCGTGATTGTGGTGACTAATAGTGAAAATTAAAAGGATACGAAGGGGGGGGGGGGGGGGGGGAATGGGGGGGGAAAGGAAA